CAACAACTACCACCACACCAACAACTACTACCACACCGACAACAACAACTACTACCACACCAACAACTACCACCACACCAACAACAACAACTACCACACCAACAACAACAAATACCACCACCACACCAATAACTACCACCACCACACCAACAACTACCACCACACCAACAACTACCACCACACCAACAACAACAACTACCACCACTCCAACAACTACCACCAATCCAACAACTACCACCACACCCACAAAAACAACTACCACCACACCAACAACTACTACCACTACACCAACAACTACCACCACCACACCAGCAACAACTTCTACCACCACACCGTCAACAATACCTACCACCACACCAACAACCACAACTACCACCACACAAACAACAACATCTACCACCACACCGACAACAACATCTACCACCACACCAACAACAACTGCCACTACACCAACAACAACTACAACTACAACCACCACACCAACAACTACCACCACCACACCAACAACTACCACCACACCAACAACAACAACTACCACCACACCAACAACAACAACTACCACCACACCAACAACAACAACTACCACCACACCAACACCTACTACCACACCAACAACAACAACTACCACCACACCAACAACTACTACCACACCGACAACAACAACTACTACCACACCAATAACTACCACCACACCAACAACAACAACTACCACCACACCAACAACAACAAATACCACCACCACACCAATAACTACCACCACCACACCAACAACTACCACCACACCAACAACAACAACTACCACCACACCAACAACAACAACTACCACCACTCCAACAACTACCACCAATCCAACAACTACCACCACACCGACAAAAACAACTACCACCACACCAACAACTACTACCACTACACCAACAACTACCACCACCACACCAGCAACAACTTCTACCACCACACCGACAACAATACCTACCACCACACCAACAACCACAACTACCACCACACAAACAACAACATCTACCACCACACCGACAACAACAACTACAACCACACCAACAACAACAACTACCACCACCACACCAACAACTACCACCACCACACCAACAACTACCACCACACCAACAACAACAACTACCACCACACCAACAACAACAACTACCACCACACCAACAACAACAACTACCACCACACCAACAACTACTACCACACCAACAACAACAACTACCACCACACCAACAACTACTACCACACCGACAACAACAACTACTACAACACCAACAACTAGCACCACACCAACAACAACAACTACCACTACACCTCCAACAAAAACTACCACTATACCTACAACAACAATTTCCTTCACACCAACACCAACAAAAACAATCACACCAATAACTACCAGCATACTATCAATTCCCACCACTTTAACTACAACAACAACTTCCCCTACAACATCAAGAAAGATGTCCACTCTTACATCAACTACTACGAAACCAATAATAAATACAATGAAATCACCAATTACAAACAAAGCAACAACAACAACGACGACCACGCCAATAACAACAATAACTACGACCATACCGATAACTACCACCACCACAACAGTCCCAACAACAACTTTCATCACTTCTACAACAGCAAAAGCCACTGCTGTAACTACTAAAACCGCATTTGCCAATATTACGCCAAAAATTACCACAACAGCAACAGACATTACAACAACGCCTATTATACCCACTTCATTAAACACCACATCATTAGTAACCACATCAGCAGACACCACAACATCAACAATTACCACTTTAGAAGACACCACACCAACAATAGCCACTTCAGCAGACACCACAACAACAACAATAACCACATCAGCAGACACCACAACACCAACAATAACCACTTCAGAAGACACCACAACACCAACACCAACCAATTCAGCAGACACCACAACACCAACACCAACCACATCAGCAGACAGCACAACCCCAATAACAACCACTTCATCAGACACCACAACACCAACAATAACCACTTCATCAGACACCACAACACCAACAATAACCACTTTATCAGACACCACAACACCAACACCAACCACTTCAGCAGACACCACAACACCAACACCTACCACTTTAGCAGACACCACAACACCAACAATAACCACTTCAGAAGACACCACAACCCCAATACCAACCACTTCAGAAGACACCACAACACCAACACCAACCACTTCAGAAGACACCACAACCCCAATACCAACCACTTCAGAAGACACCACAACACCAACAACAACCACTTCATCAGACACCACAACACCAACAATAACCACATCAGCAGTAACAACAGCACCGTCCCAAACACCGACAACCTTGACAACGGATCTACACAGCGAACCAAGATCCACGGCTACAACAACCACCACTGTGCCGAGTGTTGTACCACTAGATAAAGGTAAGTATACCACTGTGCAGCTATTTAGAAACAGAAAATGTCTCGTACAGTTTCATAATAAATGTATATCTTTTAGTCAAAAAGAAAAAATTTGTATTTATCTCCTAAACAATTATTTTAAAATTTTATTGTCGAGGATGATTGGTTATATTAGGTTCACAATTCAGTTTTGTTTTTTAAGAACATAGCGTGATTAACATCCAATTGACCGTCAAATTCAACGAACCGTTTAGTCAATCGCTTCTGTCCTCTACCACAAAGATGTTCAAAGCTACAGCACAACGCTACACACAACTGGTATGTGTTTCTGTTCTTCCAACATTTGCAACAATCCAAATCAATTTTTGGGTCTCCTTTTTCTTGATCTTCTGGATTCCATGATAGGCTTTATCCTGCAAAAACTAGCTGCTGTTTACGTGTGGCTTATGAATATCCATCTTAGTTTGTCCTGTTGTGTCCGATACTGTTGTGCTAGGTACTTTATCCAACAACTTTATATTACCTTTTCCTGTCGCCAGTGGCGTAGGCAGAGGAGGAATTAGGGGGCCCTCTGTAATTTTTTTTTACTGTCATAATACCACTGTTACTTACTTAAATCTATTTCTGAATCAGTATATATGTATAATTGTATATGTATTATGTATGTTTAGAACCGTCATCTAAAAACTGACGCTATGTTCATTCTGAGTTGGTTTCCCAATATATATATATATATATATATATATATATATATATATATATATATATATATATATATATATATATATATATATATATATATATATATATATATATATATATATATATGTATAAAATGATGGAACAAATTTGAACCCCCCCCCCCCATGAGAAGATTACTGCCAGTCGCAAACTTTCAGTGTCCTACAATCAATACGCTTTTTATTGAAATTAAAGTTTAGTACTTATTCGTATTGGTTATAAAATCTAAATTATCATAGTTTCAGTGTGATTTTAACATTACAAATAGTGTCAAGGCATGGAAGTCTCAAACTACAACACCACTAATCGAATTCAAAACTCTCAAACTACAATTATTAGCAGTTGTTTTTATCAATATATCCTAAACGAACTCCTATAATGAACATAAGATCATATTATTTACCTAATCGAGAAAGTTTGGGGGATTTAGATATTACACGCAGCTATTTTGGGTAACGGGCCAATTCTCTTAACCTCAATTCTTCGGTTAAACATTTTTGGTTACTGTTTAAAAAATAGTGAAAACAAAATTGTTAAAATATGCTAAAAAAATTAGCAATTACTTAAAGTTAGTTTTAAACTCCTCATGTGTTGGTGTGACAAGTAATTAAACTTGGCAGTCCATGTTTTGACTTGTTCTTTCACAGTTGACAGGGGTATACAGAAATGTGACAAATTTTGACAAAATTGTCATCATAAAATTTTGGTGAGTCGTTAGATAATAGCACACGGGCCATGGGCCGCGTCATCAAGGAGATTAGCTCATATTTGTGCTTCATATAACACAAGACATAAGTTAGCATTCAATATCACAGAATGACATTGTAAACATTCCAATAAAACTGCAGGATAGAAATACATCTTCCAATATAACTGCATGGTTTATATAAAATTTTGCTATACAAACTAATGCATTAAATTTTAATTGTACAGTTTTAATAATTCACAAAAGGTGTAACTAAAATTTTCTCAGAAAAGTTTAAGATTTACAGATATCGCCGTATACATTTAAAACTAACTACTGTCCCCCCCCCCTCCTCCCACCTCCCCTCCCCCAGGCCAGGCAGTATCGGCATAGACTATGACGTGAAGTTGAAAGCCTTCAGTCAACAACAGCCAGTTGACGTCACAGTCGTCAGCAAACAACTGGCAAACACCAAACAACGTATGATGGATCTGTACAATGTGGACACAGATTATGTCAACAACACGTTCAAACAAAATCTGGGCGAGGGTAAGTCTTGTCTATATGCTAATAGGCACCAACAAAAACATGTGACATAATATTTAAATAAAACAGCTCACCTTAGGCTAACCCAAACAGAACAGGCGCTAACATTTTTATCTTCACTATACCTGTTGGTGTCAGTCTAACTGTCGGTCACTGTCAGACTGTCCATCACTGTCACACTGTCATTGACTGTCAGTCTGACTGTCAGCATGGATGTAGCCTACGATTTAATCTAGCAGGCCTTCAACATTGGTAAAACATTGATATTAAAAAACAATGGCTACCTAAGCATATTTGAATATTGATGTTGAAATGTGGCTGCCAAATACTACTTTACTTATCGGTCCCTTTATGCCGAATTCTAACAATTCTCAGTAAAGGAATGACTTGTGCATGTCAACAGATTGACTAAGTGTTCCATTGCTAGCTCATAAAAATAACTTTAAAAGTTTTATCTATTTAACATAACAAATAATGGGAAATGTGTGAATTTAAAAGTCAGCTGAAATTAGGACACTTAGAGATTGAGAGTTTTGTTGTATTTACTGACACTTTGACCGCAAGTTTCCCTGTTTGTATGAGCTCATCAAACTTCCAGCCCTGCACGTGCTGGAGGAGTTTTCCCGTGACGTGTGTAGGAGTGAGCACATCTGTAATGACACGCACGTGTGTAACTCAACCAGCCAGGTGTGTGATCACAAATGTTTCAACTTCCGGTGTCCAGTCAACGCCGAGTGTTACGTCACTGGCCAGCACACACCAATGTGTAGGTGAGTACACAAGGTCACCCACTGACCAGCACACCCCACAGTGATCAAAACACGAGCATGTAAGCATGATCAAGAAAATCATAGAAAGCTGTTCACCTGTATAACCCAAATTAATTTGAGCGCTGTATAAAGCCGTCATTACCTATATTACTTTTACCATAACTTATTGTTCTATGTAAACACGGGTACACTTTTCTTTGTACTCCACTCGATATCACGTGACCTCTCCAGATCAATGTCAGTTGTGTGACATGACACCATGTCGCCGTTGACTTTAACTCCCCCCCCCCCCCCCACTCTACAACATATTGAAAATCACAGCAATAACTAGGTTAAATATCAAAAATTATAATTTTATATATAATTAATTTGACCTTGACCTGTACAGGTGTAGCGATGGCGCCGATTGTTCGTCTGCTGGGAGCACTTCCGGTCTGACGACCACACACATCGTCGCTGTTGGTGCTGGGGTGGGCGGGGCTGTTGTCGTCATCATCATCATCATCGCTCTGATCGTCTGCCTCAAACGACGGTAGGTGAAGCAGAATTTCTCCATTAGATTTGTCCGGCACCTAGACCTGCCTCCTGAACAGTAAATGTTTTTATTTCCTTTGTTGTATCAACTACATGAACCCATTCAACTAATCATCTATTTGTTCTTTTATGTTCGTGTTTTTGTGAAGAAACAGGGTGTTTAATTTGATAAGGATAAATTATTTTTAATTTATCTTTGTTGATATCGAGATTGGCTAATTTCTACAAAACTGGATATTTTTTTCTTTTTTCTTATTTTCTTTGGAAATATTTGTTTTTTTTTTTAATTCTTGTTTAATTCTATTTATATCCAGCAAACTCAGCAAGAAAGCCTACGACCAGGCGGCCATCTTTGATGACGTCATGCAGTACAAACTAACGGAGAAACTCCCGCGCTTTTCGACAGCAGGCTGGTCAACCTACAGCCCGGCCGATGACGTCAGAATGGAGACGTCTGCTGACCCCTATAGGTTCAAGATCCCAAGGCCTCGACTGGTCCACGATGGTCAACCGGAAGCCATTATGTTATCCTCCTACCAAAGGCCTTCAGCAGAAGTCCGCTTTAAATTGTAGCTAATCTCATAGTGTGCTTGTGACTCACAGTAATCAACCACGATAATAATTTATGTAAAATTGTTACTGCCTTGGTTTATGAAAAGGTGTTTTATTTTAGAAAAGAACAATTTGGAATGCTGTAAAATATTACTTTGAATACATTTTTTGGTTCTTATAAGATGAAATAAACGCCTTTTATAATTAAGTCAATGCAGGGAAGTTTTCTAGAAGTGTTCTGACATGACTGAATTAGAAAGTGATCAATGTCATGTTTGTTGGTGAAAGTTTCACACTTGGTGATATTCTAATTAGGATCTAAGTGATTTTATGTAATAATGTTAACATGCCACCATAGCATTTGTGATAATTTTAACATTCCTCCATTGTATGATAGTGTTAGCATAATTCCATAGTATATGTGATTATGTTAACATAATTCCATAGTATATGTGATTATGTTAACATAATTCCATAGTATATGTGATAATATTAAAATTTCTCCAAACTAGGCCTATATATGATAATGTTAACTTGGTCTTGTGAAGCGTATCTTTAATAAAGCCGTATCTAATGAGTTATTGTTATGAGAATGATGCTTTACTACCTAAAAATAAAACAAGTTGTTGATTCCGTGTTTTTTCTTTTGTTCATAAATCTGAAATTACAAGCATTTAATTTTGAACGACTTTGTTTGTACACCTTTCACTGGAGCTACAACGTTATTTTTAATTTTATCATAGTAGGCTCTCCACCAATCGGCCTATGTGTACTTAGCTCCCCACCAATTGACCTCTGTGTACTTAGCTCCCCACCAATCGGCCTATGTGTACTTAGCTCCCCACCAATTGACCTCTGTGTACTTAGCTCCCCACCAATTGACCTCTGTGTACTTAGCTCCCCACCAATTGACCTCTGTGTACTTAGCTCCCCACCAATTGACCTCTGTGTACTTAGCTCCCCACCAATTGACCTCTGTGTACTAGAGTTGCTGGCAAACGACCATCCCAGACAGCCCTCAGTACTGATACACTAGGTATTGTTATGTTAAGCTTTGTGGATACCTGACGTAGAGTTTATAAATAGAAGTCTGACATTCAATCTCCGTATCAATACGAAATCGATGCGAATCGTTCACAACCACTAGATCTCATTGGAAAAACCACAGCAACAGTTAATTAAAGCAAATTGTTATGTTTTGTGTTGTTGGATTTGTTTACATTTTCAGGGTACTTAAAAACGTATTATCATAAATATTTGTAATACGTGTTTTCCTACATTTTAGCAGTTTATCCTTAATAAGGTTGACATGACACCTAGCTAAACATATTCACTATAAAACCAGATGAGCAGCTTGCGACAATTATCGGCCTCTGCTGAGCCCGTGGTTCCTCTGGCGTAAAACCAACCAACCATGACCAACAGTTCACCGTCGTTAGTTAGTAGGTCGAGCAATCACAAGTACCTAATCTTGTTCTTTCCCTTTTCTTATTGACTATAACAATCTTTAATTACATGTTAATGACCGATGTAAAGTCCACTTAGATTAAAAATTAGACATTGTATTGTCATCGGAGACGAGAATATATGGAAAAGAAATCGCTGCTTTAAAAGTGGATTAAAATTGACTGACTATATTTGCCTCAGAACCACAAACAAATAAACAAGCAAAGAAGCTAATTAGAAAATGTGCGCAATACAAGTTTTCTTGTTTTCTCGGGCCGTTTGGACCGAGCCAGTCTATCTCTGTAAACAAGAAATCTCTAACACACGTGATGGTACTTGCTGTATTTTACCCAGCCATTGTTCCCATGAGTTGACTACACGACCCTACACAGATATTACTAACACACGTGATGGTGTGCAACTAATTTGATCTGATTGTCATCTTTTAATGGAATTTTATGGCTGGGAGACCAGGAGATGGCCAGATAACATGTCCAACTATGTCCTGTGGAAAACCACAAAGTGACAGCCTGCATATAGGATGGATCGAGCAAGCCCTGGGGAGGGAGGAGGTCAACATCGCGAGACAAGCGTTGGACCGGAACCTCCAGGAGAAAAGAAAACTACGCCGATCACAGAAATCCTGGAGAAGGACGATAGAAAGAGATGCAAGGGCTGCTGGGCTAACGTGGGCCCAACTAAAGAGAGCTGCTAAAACCAAATTCTGGTGGAGATGTGTGGTTGTAGCGTTTTGCCTCTTACGGGGTTCAAATGAATGTACCAAGTCAGTCCATTAAGTTAAACAGTGATTTTTTTTTCCTCTCACTTAGCTGTCTGGTCAGTTAGATGTCCAACTATCGGCCTCTGGTCATTTACTTGTCCAATTATTGGCCTCTGGTCAATTACTTGTCCAATTATTGGCCTCTGGTCATTTACTTGTCTAATTATTGGCCTCTGGTTAGTTATTTGTCTATCGGCCTCCGGACAATCGACCATCGACCTCTGTGTACTAGACCTGTCGACAAACGACCAGCAGGGATAAGCCTCAGTACCGAACGACTATTTTTTTTTATTTTATGTTAATTAAGTATATAAATATCTGACGTAGAGTTTATAAATAGAAGTAGGTCATCTATCCAAAAATCGTATTGATAGGTAATCGCAGAAAATTCGTCACTACCGTTAGATAACTTCAACAATCACAACAAAAAACTGTACGGTCCCAACGTTCTAAGGCCCGAATCAAAATATCACGCAACTTTAGACGCCCTCGCTCGCCCTAGATCAAGTCATGTTATCCTTAAAGGATAACACTGGTTAAATGTTATCTTTTGATAGATTGTGATAAGGGAAACAGGCAAAAAAGTTATCATTTTTTCCACTCGCTTGTTTCCCCACAGTGGTGCGGTGTTATTGCATGGATGATTTCTGTCACATGGAGTCTTCTAGTATTTTACTTGTTCTATGTTTGATCAACGTACAAATGGCTATAGCAGGTAGGTTAATAGTTCTACGACTATCATAAAATCAATATACATATTCACGGATAAAAATGCAATACCATTACTGCAGCGCCGGCGCCAGGTTATTTAGCGCCCTAGGCAAAACTTATTAAAAGCGTCCCCCCCCCCCCCGCAATTTTTTTCCGTGCCCCCGTGTTATCAGAGGCGTGGCGACCCTTCCCGGCGCCAGGGGTCAAACTTTCGATTTGCAACCTCCCACCCCCCCCCCCTCCCTCAAACTTTCGATTTGCGCCCGCCTAGTTCGCCTTATAGGTAGCGCCTGCCCTGCATTACTGAAAAAAAAAACTTTACTATCACAAACAAAAATGATACCATTAGTGACAAAACAAACATACATTCGCTGACAAAAACTACACCCTCCCTGTCAAACAAACTATACCCAGCGTCAAGTGCAGGATCCTGTAACACACTGGACACTTGACCATGGACCAACAGAACATGACGGAGACACCTAAATAACCTGATACAAATCTTAAAAGTATGAAAACTTGTACACTCTGGGCAACATGTGCCACGGTTGCATTGATTCGCTGTTCAATTCTCCGTACAAAATGGCATATCTATTACAACTTAAGCAAATAATATAATTTATTATATAATTTATTTCAAAGAAATATCATAAATGCTGGTACTTGTAGGCAAATGGTATCAACTTTTTATCCAAACTATTGATCACATTTGTGGTTTGATTATCATTATTATGTTTTCGTTCACTGGATACTGTCCACATTTATTGCAGGATTTTTTATTATTATTTTTTTTTTTGATGTTTCAAAATCTTTTTTTTAAGTTGTTGAATGTACCAGTAAAATAAAAAAAAATTACTATTTTATTGCAAACTTTATCGTAAGAAGTCGATCTACGAATCCTTGAGTTGTTTTTTTATTTATTTGATAAGTGATAACGGTCATATCCAGATTCTAGGCGCCACAACCTAATCTAACATTGTTATCAGTTGGTGTAGATTGCGTGGCTTACGATACGATGTCACCTCTCTCATAATATCAGCCCACGTATATTTTTTCACCTAATATGTTGCGAAAAATGAGCTGAACTAAATTAATCTGATTTAAATACACACTTTACGTGAGTATTAATTAAAATGTATTTCAGTTAGTTAACACTTTTAAAAAATGGATTTAATGCCGACATTTTCAAAAGCCGACTACAATGGCTCCTGGAATAAGGCCGATACCCGAATGAATACATAATAAATTTTCAACGACAGCCTTAGTTTATATATAATAACCATAGAATTCGCACCAAACTGTATTTTATAGGTCTATATAGACTTTTTATTTTTATTCATCTACACAACTCTTCTTGCAAGAAAATAAACACGGCCATCCCGCGTTAATTATGTAATGCCAATCTGCTGTTTCTAGTTTATGCTTTATATCTGTGCTTGGGCCTGGGACATTACACACTATGAATTATCCCCCCTCCCTCAATCAATTTTGGTAATACCCTGTATACACAATATCTGTAAAGTGAGAAAGGCGGCATTTTTTAAACATTGCTAGGCATTATATATTAATTGGCTGACGTACAAAATAAATCGAATTTCCTAAAGCTTTTCAAACAAAGTGCAGAACAAGCTTAGACCCTATCCCTAGCCTCAACTTTAAACCTGACCCTATCCCTAACCCAAACACATCTCTATCATTTTTCATGCAACTTTAAGCCTATCGGTATAACTAAATCTAACTTTAACCATATCACCATCCTTATAAGTTTTAGGGCTTGAAAATAATCCACAGATGAGTCCTATTCGGCTGGGTGTGCAGCCCAAAAACTGTTATCCACAATTATTTTTTTTGGCGTTAATATCGTTTTCAAGACGGTGATTATAGAAATATAATGTTTTTTTCAGAACGTTTAATATGATGAATTATTTTTTAAATTATATATTTAAAAAATGTTATTTAAATACCGTCTTATAGAAGGCTAATTCATTTTTCAGATTTAGTTTATTGTAAGGCCAGTCCACTATTGCCAATGTATCAAAGTTAATTTTGTTTTTAGCATCGTTAGTCCAGGGAAGTGATTCAGTAGCGACAGTCACGGGTTGTAAAAATTCCCCGGTTATCTCCCCTTCGTGTGATTTCTCAACACTGTGTGGCTACAAAAGTTACCATGAAGGCAACACAAACATCAGCTGGGTCCTTGCTAATGGGATGGTCAAACCTATACTGGCCCCGTGGAAACCTCCAGGTTCTACTGAGCGTAAGTTTTTATAATTTTAACTTGCATACAGCAACACTTTAAATTTATAAATATAAAAACATGTATACAATTTTAGATAAAATATATTATTTTACCATGTGGTTAAATTTTAAAATGTAAAAAATTCGATCGAAAAAATAAAAACTTAGTTCTTTTTTAAACATAAACTTATTAATATAAAGGCAATACTAGTCACACAGTAATTTTTCAACGCCAAATACAGTTCATGTCCTACATTTTAGGGGTCATCAATAAATGACGTCACGCTTTTTTGGACGATTTTTACCTCCCCCCCCCTCCCCTCCGTCACACGTCGTCACAAAAAGTCAGACCCCCCCCCTAAAATGACGTCACACCTCAGCCTGCAACCCCCCCCCCCCCCTCAAGATTGCAGTTGAATTTATTTTAAACATTGATATTTTTCTAAAATCTTGTCTGAACTCAGTCAAAATAGAGTATTTTAATCAATTCCTATTACAATTTATTAATACAGTTTTCTAAAATGCGAAATAACGTCTAAAATTCAATTTCTAACATTGCTTTTTTACCATCTGAACTCCCCCCTCCCCCTCATCACACACCGTCACAAAATTGCGGACCCCCTCACCCCTACGAGTGTGACGTCATTTATAGACGATCCCTTATTCCAGTAACAAAGATTTCATGCCTCTGTAAAACTATAAAACGCAAACTTCGCGTAGAAGTAACAACTTCCTTTAATCCCAGACGACGCAGCTCTGATTGTTTCCGTCTTAGAGTTTTGGTTGAACATTTTTTTAAACAATTTTTTTCTTTCCCTGTCTCAATCCCTATGTCCCTGGGAGAAACACTCACACCCCCCCCCCCCATCCACCCCACTAATAGCTGTGTTACGACCCTTGTGGATAACCACTTATAATAATTTCAATACAATTTGGATTTTTCTAGGCTTAAGAGACATTAAACAAAACATTCATTACAAGTATTTTAAAACATTTTCGAACACAATTATTTTAATATTTCAGAGAGCTACTACGTGTATCTAGACCATAAAACTAACGCACCTGTGGGAAGTAAAGGGTTAATGAGTGCAGAAATAGCACCGGATGTGACGTCAATCTGTGTAGAGTTCCATTACGCAACTAACGGTCTATCCAAACAACACCTGAATGTTTACCTGCAGTCTACACCTGGGTATGGTCCAAGCTACAAGACTGACCCACTCGTCTTGACACTTAACAATGTCAGCACAACGTATGCTTGGAATTACGCCACGTTTTCTACTTGTCTTAATGGCTCACGCTTTGTAAGTTTGTACTTTTAAAAAGTTACTCAAGCGTTAAACTATTGTAACTGAATCGGAATTTTATTTTTTTACATCGTCTTACTGAAGCACAATTTAAAATGTTTGAAAAAAAAACCATGTAACATGAAATTACTTAAATATTCTCAGCTTTCCTTTGAGACCAGCAAACTTTCATCATTTGAGACGATGTCACTAGACGGTATCAAAGTAACACCAGCTGACCTGACATGCGCAGACAGTCCAGTGACCACAGCACTTCCGGCCCACGTGACTGGTCCTATACCATCAACATCTCGCCATATCTCGTCCACTCTCCTGCCGTCGTGTGAGTTTAAAACGTTATGTAACTACACCAGTTACCATGACGACCACACTAACATCAGCTGGGTGCTTGCTACACCCACAAACAAACCCATCTTATCATACTGGGACCCTCATGCTGCTGAACGTGAGGAGATTATTTTTACTTCAATAGTTTACACTTTCTATTACGCTATACATTATCGTTCCATTTGTCTAATAATGTAGATTTCAAATCAATCTGTCTCTACATATTTATTTTAGCATTTTTTTTATAAATAAGCGTTTTAAAATATACATGTACGACAACCTGCAACAATAACGATTTACTTAATCTCTACCTACAGAAACCTCCTACGTGTACCTGGATGTCAGACATGGCGCCCCCATGGGAAGTAAAGCAATGTTGAGTGCTGAGATAGGAAGTGACGTCACTGCCATCAATGTCCAGTTCCATTACGCAATCTCTGGTATGGACAAGTACAGCCTGAAAGTCTATCTCCAGTCTACACCTGGCTATGGTCCAGGCTACACAACTAATGACGTCGTCTTTAGTGTTGACGTCATTAAATCTTTTACTTGGAACACCTCAACGTTTTCAGCGTGTTTGAATGGAAAACATTACGTAAGAGCAACAACTCGATCTTCACAAAAATATAATTTAAATATTTTCTCAAAATGTACATAAATTAGCGATTAATGGTCGTATTTACACCGTTGATTAGTTTGCTACTAAGGTCATTAAAATTTTAAATATATTCATTGTTCTATTTAGTACTTTACTGAGTAGAATTAGCAATGAGTGATGTAGTAGACCTATGTGTTTCATTATATATTTATTTTGTTTTCTGAACTAGTATGTTTTATTAGTTTGTAAAAATAATGACAAACATTTTTTGCTAGAATGTCTTGTTATTCAAATTTTAGATTTCTTTTGAAAGTACTAAGGTGGCTACTTTTACTGCTATGGCCATTGATGGCATTCAAATAACTGAGGCGGATCTAACTTGTAACACACCATCAACCACGACCATTTCAACAACTACCACCCCGCTAACATCCACCCCATCAACCACGACGACGCCGACATCCAAGACCACGGCAACAACCATCACATCACCAACCACTGCAACAACAGCCAGTACAACAACAACACAAATCAGCGTTACCACTGTACAGACCACCGCGACAAGCTTGACTACAACAACCACTGTAGCTACTCCTGCTAAAATACCACTTGGCACAGGTGAGTGAGATAATAGGGCTGGTATGTAGGTCACCAACCAGTTCTACGGCTCAATAAAACCTGCATGAGCCATAGAACTGGTTGGTGACCTACTTACTAGCCCTATTATTTCAATAAGTAATCAATACTTTGTTGTAATAACGTGGATGCGTGTACAGTTCTCAAAAAGTAATTTTTCGGTTGATCAGCAACTCAATCAGCCACAACTGCGAAACATGTTTAAAGTAAATCATTTCTTCTGTAGATTTTACCCGGTAAATCAGCTAAATATTTTAATTAAAATCTTATTCTTTTCTTCTACTAAACGTTTAAGGCGAAAAATGTAACCTGCCGATATTTAACTTTATGTTGATTACGGTTTTGTATATTATTCATAGTTAATATTAAAATATTTTGTTAGATTTTATTTATACATAGGTAAAATTTGTTTATACGCCTTGATTTAAGTCAAATGATATAATGTATTGCAGTTATCTGTAAAGAAAGCAATTTTTAATTAATTGTATTAAGCTGCGAGTCTACATTAGAGCTGATCAACTTTAAGAAAGCATTTCATAAACTTGATTTGTTTTCGTATTTATAATAATAATATGGTGGCAAGAACTCAAGTTTTTTTAATAAATTTGTCTTATATACTTAATTACATTCTATTGACAAATGTGTCTTTGTTATTATATTTATTTTTCTGCGCTATTATACATATTTAATCCAAATTTTATGTTCTATAGTTATCTCCCCTTCGTGTGATTTCTCAACACTGTGTGGCTACAAAAGTTACCATGAAGGCAACACAAACATCAACTGGGTCCTGGCTAATGGGACGGTCAAACCTATAGCGATCCCGTGGAAACCTCCAGGATCTAACGATCGTAAAATTGTTTATTCAAAGATTGTATTAGTATGTGTGTTTGCAATGTACACATTGTAAGCCGAAAAAAAAAAGAAATTCAATTTTAATGGGAGATAAACAGCTTTGTAGTAAAGATGCATAACATTAAATGGTTTCCAGCACTTTATGAGATATTTATTTTTTAACAATCAACACTGTCGCTGGTTCGCCATAGGAAAGTGTTAACAACCTTTAGATAATGGTCTTTCTTCAGAAAAGCACACTAAAAAACAACTATTCTTATGTCAGTGCACATCACCAAACCAAACCTTTTAGCATGATCATCACTTCATATCCACCTTCACAACCTCTCTACTATACCCCTTAACACGTGCATCGCCTTTGCAATCCCACCCCCTACAAAAACATCCGCTATGCAAGACGCTCGTTACATGCTATTTAAAACCATTTTGGCGTTAAATAATCAGTCCGTTTGATTAATATGTTTTTCTGCAGGTTAGCAAGCACAAAATTATTCCAAGACCACACCGATTCATCTACTGCCACTTCCCCATTACCAAACTGCTCCGGTGCGCCCTCTAACTCGACCTTATGATTAATACTTGCACGACGCCCCTCTTTTCACCTAACCCATTACGATACTTGAACGAAAAAATGCATTAAACACAATTAAAAGTAATCTCTGATTATTTCAAAACAAATTGATATTTAAGACAAATATTTGTTTCATATGTAACGTATTATACGCCTTAAAAAGAAATTAATTCAATAATCACTTACTAATTAAACTTTTTACTTGCAAAACGTGCTGTAATAATTATTTGAGCTATATTTGCCTTTGATTAGAAGGATGATTGGCTTATAAAATAAATATTTTGCATTCAACTCTTTTTGAAGACATGCTGACTTCTAAATCCGAATAAGTAAGCAAAAACTAAAGAAACATTAAAAGAAAGTTATAATAATATTTTGATTTTTAAAATTTAAATAAACAATCATTTCTTCTTTTTAAGTAATTTTCTAAAAGTGTACAACAAGAACAATATTTTCATGTTTCAGAATCCTACTACGTGTATATAGACCATAAAACTAACGCACCTGTAGGAAGTAAAGCTTTAATAAGTGCAGAAATTCAACCAGGCGTTACGTCAATTCATGTAGAGTTCCATTACGCAACTAACGGAATGTCTAAACAACACCTGAATGTTTACCTGCAGTCTACACCTGGGTATGGTCCAAGCTACAAGACTGACCCAATGGTCTTTACTCTTACGAACGAGACTACAGTTTATGCTTGGAAAAACGTCACGTTTTCTACTTGTCTAAATGGGTCACGTTATGTACGTTGGTTTTTCTAAGCAATTTTTTGTGTCTTTCTTTGTTTTTTCATTTTTTTAAATATTATTTACAGCCTTCACTTTATTAAGTAAAAAATTAACTTTAATATTGTCAGCTTTCCTTTGAGACCAGCAAATTTTCAACATTTGAGACGATGTCACTAGACGGTATCAAAGTAACACCAGCTGACCTGACATGCGCAGACAGTCCAGTGACCACAGCACTTCCGGCCCACGTGACTGGTCCTATACCATCAACATCTCGCCATATCTCGTCCACTGTCCTGCCGTCGTGTGAGTTTAAAACGTTATGTAACTACACCAGTTACCATGACGACCACACCAACATCAGCTGGGTATTGGCTAGTGGGGTGAACAAACCAATGTCGACAGCATGGGATCCTCAGGCCGCTGAACGTAGGTGTCCTCTTTTTCTTCTCATCTATATTTTTTGTAAACATTCACTGGTATGTCTTGTTTCTCAGACGTTTCTGTGTATGATATCGTATAAGCCATTTCCTTTGCATACCATCGTCTGTTTATTTACTAATAGTATTGACGCTAAGATTGCTGATCTCAAAAACAAGATGGCGACCTTCATTTTTGAGGACAGTCTTAGCATAGCGCCATTGGCTGTTTTATATTTCAATGAATTAAATATAAAATTTAAAATTTTCGAAATCTGAAAACGTTGCTTTTCTTTCACGTACGTAAACAAAAATCTGTTTTTTGAGTATATGCAGTCTAAATAGGTTTTGTTCACAAAACAATTGTATGTGTCTTTTTATACAAAATGTCACCACTCATTAGTATATAGCACATTACAATATTTACAGTACTAAGATAATAAATAATTAAATGAAACCTACTTAACAAAGCCGAACTTCCCTGCTATTTAATAGCATAAGGCTTTAAAGTTTTCAGCTTGTAAGTTACTAGTGACACAATGTTGTTTGATATAACACGCTCCTTCACAGAAACCTCCTACGTGTACCTGGATGTCAGACACGGCGCCCCCATGGGAAGTAAAGCAATGTTGAGTGCTGAGATAGGAAGTGACGTCACTGCCATCAATGTCCAGTTTCATTATGGTATTTCTAGTACGGACAAGTACAGCCTGAAAGTCTATGTCCAGTCTACACCAGGCTATGGTCCAGGCTACACAACTGATGACGTCGTCTTTAGTTTAGACAACATCAGTGCAGCTTTTACCTGGAAAAATGCCACGTTTTCTACCTGTGTCAATGGCAGACGTTATGTGAGTGATTACAAAGTAACAATCGGTTATAGTGGCAAAAAACAATTGACAAAAAAATATAATAATAGAAATTATTTTCATATAACTTTTACTAAGGCATTATAAATTTTATAAGCGTTTTATAAAATTTCAGATTTCCTTTGAGAGTTCAAAGGCTGCTGGGTATGCTACGATTTCACTTGATGGAATTTACATAACACCATCTGACAGAGTGTGTTCTATGCCAACAACAAGTACACCAACAACAACAACTACACCAACAACAACAACTACACCAACAACAACAACTACACCAACAACAACTACGCCAACAACAACAACTACACCAACAACAACAACTACACCAACAACAACAACTACACCAACAACAACAACTACACCAACAACAACAACTACACCAACAACAACAACTACACCAACAACAACTACGCCAACAACAACAACTACACCAACAACAACAACTACACCAACAACAACAACTACACCAACAACAACAACAACTACACCAACAACAACAACTACACCAACAACAACTACACCAACAACAACTACACCAACAACAACAACTACACCAACAACAACAACTACACCAACAACAACAACTACACCAACAACAACAACTACACCAACAACAACAACTACTAAACCGACAACAACAACTACACCAACAACAACAACTACACCAACAACAACAACTACACCAACAACAAAAACAACAACTACACCAACAACAACAACTTCACCAACAACAACAACTACACCAACAACAACAACTACACCAACAACAACAACTACGCCGACAACAACAACTACACCAACAACAACTACACCAACAACAACTACACCAACAACAACAACTACACCAACAACAACAACTACACCAACAACAACAACTACACCAACAACAACAACTACACCATCAACAACAACTACTACACCAACAACAACAACTACACCAACAACAACAACTACACCAACAACAACAACTACACCAACAACAACAACTACACCAACAACAACAACTACACCAACAACAACAACTACACCATCAACAACAACTACTAAACCGACAACAACAACTACACCAACAACAACTACACCAACAACAACAACTACACCAACAACAACAACTACACCAACAACAACTACACCAACAACAACAACTACACCAACAACAACTACACCAACAACAACAACTACACCAACAACAACAACTACACCAACAACAACAACTACACCAACAACAACAACTACACCAACAACAACTACACCAACAACAACAACTACACCAACAACAACAACTACACCAACAACAACAACTACTACACCAACAACAACAACAACTACACCAACAACAACAACTACACCAACAACAACAACTACACCAACAACAACTACACCGACAACAACAACTACACCAACAACAACAACTACACCAACAACAACTACACCGACAACAACAACTACACCAACAACAACAACTACACCAACAACAACAACTACACCAACAACAACAACAACACCAACAACAACTACTACACCAACAACAACAACAACTACACCAACAACAACAACAACACCAACAACAACAACTACACCAACAACAACTACACCGACAACAACAACTACACCAACAACAACAACTACACCAACAACAACTACACCGACAACAACAACTACACCAACAACAACAACTACACCAACAACAACAACTACACCAACAACAACAACAACACCAACAACAACAACTACACCAACAACAACAACTACACCAACAACAACAACAACACCAACAACAACAACTACACCAACAACAACTACACCGACAACAACAACTACACCAACAACAACAACTACACCAACAACAACTACACCGACAACAACAACTACACCAACAACAACAACTACACCAACAACAACAACTACACCAGCAACAACAACTACACCAACAACAACAACTACACCAACAACAACAACTACACCAACAACAACAACTACACCAACAACAACAACTACACCAACAACAACTACTACACCAACAACAACAACTACACCGACAACAACAACTACACCAACAACAACAACTACACCAACAACAACAACACCAACAACAACAACTACACCAACAACAACAACAACAACTACACCTACACCAACAACAACAACTACACCAACAACAACAACTACGCTGACAACAACAACTACGCCGACAACAACAACTACACCAACAACAACAACTACACCAACAACAACAACTACACCAACAACAACTACACCAACAACAACAACTACACCAACAACAACAACTACACCAACAACAACAACTACACCAACAACAACAACTACTAAACCGACAACAACAACTACACCAACAACAACAACAACAACAACAACTACACCAACAACAACAACTACATCGACAACAACAACTACACCATCAACAACAACTACTAAACCGACAACAACAACTACACAAACAACAACAACAACTACTACACCAACAACAACAACTACACCAACAACAACAACAACTACTACACCAACAACAACAACTACACCAACAACAACAACTACACCGACAACAACTACACCAACTATAACAACTACACCGACAACAACAACTACACCGACAACAACAACTACACCGACAACAACAACTACACCAACAACAACAACTACACCAACAACAACTACACCAACAACAACTACACCAACAACAACTACACCAACAACAACAACTACACCGACAACAACAACTACACCAACAACAACAACTACACCAACAACAACTACACCAACAACAACTACACCGACAACAACAACTACACCAACAACAACAACTACACCAACAACAACTGCACCAACAACAACTACACCGACAACAACAACTACGCCGACAACAACAACTGCTAAACCAACAATAACTACACCACCAACAACAACAACTACACAGACAACAACAATTACGCCGACAACAACAACATCACCACCGACAACAACTACACCAACAACAATAACCACTCCAACAACAACCAACACTGCAACAATAATGAATACAACTACACCGGATATTACCACCACTCCAATGTCTACCATCCGTTCGACTGTTTCCTCAAAAGACACTACACCTACCACACTCCAGTCAGCTATTGCGGCTGTACCATCAACAAAAGAACCAACAACATCTCAACCTAATTATACATCTTTCGACAAAGGTACCCCACTTGTTGGATTTGTTTTTCTTTTCATTTGTTTAAATTTCTGTTCTTTTTTTATAAATTATTATAATTTGTTTTTTATTTTATCAAGTACTAAAGTATTAAATAAAAAAATATTTTGCATGTATATTAACATTTCGTTAAGAAGTTTTAAAATACTTCATAGTACAAAACATATATAATATTCTGAAAAACTACAAAGTGTTTATTTAGAAAAACACACAAACCCTTTCATTTAGAAGCAAATATGTTTTCTTTAAGTATTTTACTCAATAACTTACAATTTATTTGTTGAATATTTTTAATGTTGAATATGTTGTGTTTAATTGTATTTAAAAATTATTCCATGGATCCCCAAGGATTTAACGTTACGTTTAAAATAATAATTAATTAATTAATAACAGCAATTGTTTTAAAATATAATCCAGAAAACAGTCGGGTCGCCGTAGTGTTCACCATCAAGTTCAACAAAGATTTTAACCCCTCGCTTGTCTCCCCTGAAACAACTATCTATATGGACACAGTGCGACACTACACGGCTGTGGTGAGTTGTTTAGTGTCTGTTGTAGTGTGTAAGTCTGGAACTTAATGTGAAACTTGAACATACAAAACACGACACTACCTGACTTTATACTAAAATATATGTTAAAAAAGACGCCGTTATATATATTCCTTGCCGGGTTTTTTTCTACATTCTAAAACGAACTAAAAAAAACTTTTGTTATTTAAATTTTGAGTTTGTAGTGTGCAATATTCCAGAAATTATCCATTTCATTTTATTTTTATTTTCAGCTGACTCCAGTGTACAAAGATGTTTTAAACTTTGACAAAATTGTGATCACGAATTTCTGGTAAGTTAACACATTCACTCGAGTTTAGAGTTTCAATTCAAAGATTCAAGACAATAGAAAAACATAGTGTAACTTTTCCTGGCAGCTTGTTTTGTCTGAATGGCTTCTGTAGGATGATTTACATCTGTTGGAGGATTAAGCTAAGTATTTATTGCGATAAGTTCATATCAAATGGGAGAGTTAACTGTGCTTACGAATGTCAATACGAACATAGACTAACTAGCCGAAAATTCCATTACACGACAAGCTCAGAAACGAAAAAACTATAGTATAAGTATGAAAATCAAACAAATATTAGAAACAGTTAAAATGGGTAGCTTTTAAATGCACTGAAAATAAGAAAATAAAACGAACTTACTTTCTATCATAGAAGCATTGGTCTACTTTATTTTATTTATATTTAGTTTACTTTTTATTTGTTGTTGTTTTTTGTTTGTTTTTTTTGTTGTTGTTTTGCATTCCATACGACTTAAAATATTTTAAAAGATAATTATCTGCCCTTTCTTTGTCCGTGGTCTACTCAAGCAGTTCACAGTCGTCAGCAAATATTTGCTCTTGTCAGCTCCCCTTTTCGCTTTTTAATTTAATAATCTTGTAATTAAATTTCATTAACGGCCAATTTAATATCTAATTAGATTTAAAATTACGTGGACGACTCTGGAAAGGGTTAAACGAAATCGCTTCATTAGAAGTGGGTCAAAAGTGAATTGCAAGATTTGTAACACACAAACAAACAAACAAATGGAAGTGGTGAACTAAAAAAAACTGTAATATATCTGTACCTCCTTTACGCCTGTCAGTCACGGTTCACTGGCTTGTTGTGTGTTTTGTATTTCTTTGGTTATTTCCCTTAGGTTTACAGACATACTGTACTAGGTAATTATAGACATAGACTAACGTGTCTAGACACATGGATGTCTTACACTGCCAAAACTAACCACTGCCTCCCCCCTTCCCCTCCCCCCCTCCTATCCCCCAGGCCGGGAAGTATCGGCATCGACTACCAGGTACACCTGAAAGCCTTCAGTCACCAACAGCCAGTTGACGTCATCAAGGTCAGCCAACAACTAGCAGACACCAAACAACGTCTGCTTGATTTGGACAACGTGGACAAAACCTACGTCAACAGCACCTTCAACCAAAATCTGGATGATTGTAGGTTGTGTTTATTTATTTTTAATACACATATTACTCTAATGTTTGAGTTCGTATTACTTTCAAATTTTAGTATTATCTCTATTAAAATAGCATTATAGTGTTAAACATCGTTATACTCTCGACTCCATTAGTTTTAAAATATCATCCAATCAAACATGACTTCCAGCCTTGCACGTGCTGGAGGAGTTTTCCCGTGACGTGTGTAGGAGTAAGCACATCTGTAATGACACGTACGTGTGTAACTCAACCAGCCAGGTGTGTGATCACAAATGTTTCAACTTCCGGTGTCCAGTCAACGCCGAGTGTTACGTCACTGACCAGCACATCCCACAGTGTAGGTGAGTACACAAGGTCACCCACTGACCAGTACACTGTGTTTGTTGATTACGTGTTGTTTTGTTTGTTTGTTTGTTTGTTTGTTTTTAATTTTTATTACTTTGCTTTTAATATAAGCCCCTAGGTAGTGTTTCAGTCCTCAGTATTTTAGTCTGAGCTTTGTTGACGGCATAAATTTTAGGCGGACGTCCAAGGAAGCAATGCGCCATTTTCATAAACTAACGCTTTTGCTTTAATTATTGATTGAAACAAGTTTATAAGTCGATTTCTCATAGATAAAGTAAAATTTATTCCACATTACCCTTGACAACGACAAACTGAAGTACTGATGGTGTCTTGTACGTCGGCACTGTTTCCATGGACAACAAAACCATCAAGCGATGCCACAAACATGCAATCATTTCATGCTAGACTTAGACATCACACAAACATGCAATCATTTCATGCTAGACTTAGACATCACACAAACATGCAATCATTTCATGCTACACTTAGACATCACACAAACATGCAATCATTTCATGCTAGACTTAGACATCACACAAACATGCAATCATTTCATGCTAGACTTAGACATCACACAAACATGCAATCATTCATGCTACACTTAGACATCACACAAACATGCAATCATTTCATGCTACACTTAGACATCACACAAACATGCAATCATTTCATGCTAGACTTAGACATCACACAAACATGCAATCATTTCATGCTAGACTTAGACATCACACAAACATGCAATCATTTCATGCTAGACTTAGACATCACACAAACATGCAATCATTTCATGCTACACTTAGACATCACACAAACATGCAATCATTTCATGCTAGACTTAGACATCACACAAACATGCAATCATTTCATGCTACACTTAGACATCACACAAACATGCAATCATTTCATGCTACACTTAGACATCACACAAACATGCAATTATTTCATGCTAGACTTAGACATCACACAAACATGCAATCATTTCATGCTACACTTAGACATCACACAAACATGCAATCATTTCATGCTAGACTTAGACATCACACAAAAAATCTGCTATTGAGACTGCTACTGAGAATGTTAAGCTTGTGTTACTTGTGTATTAAGGAACACGGGAACTTTAACCTCGGGGTTCTGTCTTAGGGGTTAAAGGGTGCCTTTATTGTCTCCATCTTTTGGGGCCTAAACCCTTTTCCTTAATCCTTAATGTAGGGAGATCTTATCATGTTTAACCGCTCCCTGTTAAACATACACACCACACTTCTAACTCTTATGTTGTGTGGGTCACGTTATGTTGTGTGGGTCAGGTTTATGTTGTGTGGGTCACGCTTATGTTGTGTGGGTCACGTTATGTTGTGTGGGTCAGGTTTATGTTGTGTGGGTCACGTTATGTTGTGTGGTTCACGTTATGTTGTGTAGGTCACGTTATGTTGTGAGGGTCACGTTATGTTGTGTGGGTCAGGTTTATGTTGTGTGGGTCACGTTATGTTGTGTGGTTCACGTTATGTTGTGTAGGTCACGTTATGTTGTGAGGGTCACGTTATGTTGCGGACGTCAGTTTTATGTTGTTAGGGTCCCTTTGACTATATAAGGGTCAGATTTATGACAATGGTTTCAACCTTTACCCTGTATAGGTGTAGCGATGGCGCCGATTGTTCGTCTGCTGGGAGCACATCCGGTCTGACGACCACACACATCGTCGCTGTTGGTGCTGGGGTGGGTGGGGCTGTTGTCGTCATCATCGTCATCATCGCTCTGATCGTCTGCCTCAAACGACGGTAAGTGAAGCAGACGTGGAATGTAGGAGAACAACTAGACAACGTTCATTAGCAGACGACTTCTCGCAATAAAACATTTATTAGCAGACGACTGCTCTTAATACAACGCAAACAGCGACAAACACGCAGTTGTCATGACCAACCGACAAAATGGCCGACAATCCACTTATGTAAACAACTTTTTAAATTTTCTAGCACGAAACTTCATAGTACAATACCAACTGTTATACTCGGCCACAAACTTAAATAACCAAATAATTTACCAACAAATAGTTTTTACTCGAAAAAATATTTTTTCCTGACCAAATTATTTTACCTGAGCAAATATTGTTACCTTGCCATTTTAACCACCACCCCCCCCCCCCCGCCACCTTATCCTACAGAAAAAGAAATGAGGCTAAACAGGAGCAGATAACCGAGTATGCAAATATCGGACGTAACAAACCAAACGAAAATTCAACTTTCAATTTTGCTTCGTCACCCAACAGGCCATCCCATAATTTCACCGTCCATACCCCACGTGACCAGCGCAGCCATTACAGTTTGAAGACACGACCGGAAGTCGTCATGATGACCTCCTACCAAAGGCCTTCATCAGAGATAATCTACAAGTTGTAGTTGGCCTTTAAATGTATCAATCAACTCCACAATTTTGGAGAAAAATTGTGTTGAAAACTGACGATTTTTGCGTAAAAAACTAGAAATGGGTTCATTAAGTGGCATTTCTTTCAATGTAAAATACTCCATTTTCATGTTTTCTACACTATATTTTAAATGTATTTAATTAATCTATAGTTGGTTACACCCCGTCATAGTATATACATTTGTTTCATTATGTAAATCCCATGTGTTCCAATGTTAAATACTGTTGAATCGGTTAGCTGTGCACCTAGGTGTCTTTCAGCAAGCTGTGTGCACACTGTGTAGAACCAAAGTAACATGGCAATGGTGTGCTGTGTGTTAGATGATCTTATTTAAGTTGAGATTTTTCATGATGTGTAAGATGGTGTTGTTCCTGTGGAGATGTTGTGTTGATGTGTAAGATGTTGTATTTTAATTGAAGATGTTGTGCTGCTGTATTAATGAGTGATCAACATTCTGTTCAGTATGTGGTTGTAGAAGTTAACGAAGCTGGATTGGATGAGAATATTCTGCCTGATGATAAAAGTTTACGTTTGAGTTTGGATTAGTCGTTACTTAGTTTTCTCTAGAGATTTTACAATGTTTAGTTTCAGTTCTAGTCCTGCAGAGTTTCCTTCAGGCAAGATCATATATATGGTGCCAAGGTGTGTTTTACCTCACTATTACATAAGGTTACTCATACAGCACGCCAATGGGCGCTAGGGCGGAAGTGTGGACACCCCCGCTCCCAATATCTAAGATACAAAAGGTTTTGTGTGTGTGACTAGCTTCGAGTGAGAAAGTTAGGAGTTGAGTGAGTAGGTGGGGGGGGGGGGGAGTTAACGTTAGGTGAAGAAAACGTCTGGGTCCAATTTTTGTTACTTGAGGGTAGGGGTGGAGTTGAAAATATTTGGGTGAGTCGGGGGGGGGGGGGGTAAGGACGTTGGATGATGGGTAGTGTACGTTTGGCGGGAGGTGACATTAGATCGAGAATATCGTCCGTAGAATTGTACATGGACTCGAGAATTTGAATCGTCATTCAATAAACTGGGAGTGATCTCCCCTAAACTTTCTCGAACATTCTTATATAACACTACTGGGGATGGCAACTCGGGATATAAACAATATTTCTAATCCATTTTTAATTACTTAAACTTTTTATAATAGAAAGAATCTCGTAGAAAAAAGAATTGCACACCAAGTGAACGCCAAACAAGAGGTGCATAATAGTACGGGTTATTATTAGTACTTTATAAATTCACATGCGTTTTTTGGGAAATCGGAAATTACTACTTCCCAGTCAACGGAAATTACTAAAAAGTTATAGGCTTTTAAAAAATTGAAAGTAGAAAAAGTTCCACTTCCGGTTATCGAAAATCGCTGGAAAGTTGATACGGATCTATAAATTTGATATTATACTTGTATATGAAATTTTATCAACCTAGCTGTAACGGTACTCAAGTTATCGTGTTTACAGACATACACACACACACACACATATAAATATATATATATATATATATATATATATATATATATATATATATATATATATATATATATATATATATATATATATATATATATATATATATATATATATATATATATATATATATATATATATATACAGACATACGGACACGATTGCAAAATTAAGTTTTTCCGACTCAGGGAGGTGTAAAACGTCGAGATTTGCAAAAATCTCGATTGGTTTTTTTTTTTTTGCACGATTAAAAGACTTTCTCTATATTCAGTACTAGCCGTCCCGGCCAGGCCCTGCTCTGGCTTCTGTGAAAAACCTTTCTGTTAAAGACCATTACCTGTGTGTTTAGTAATCATCATAAACCCGGCATTGCCCACCCAAACCACAACCAACCAAAACAACAAAACGCAAACATAACGCTAACACAATTACAAATACAAACGAAAACAAAAACCTAACAACAAACCCAACCACAACCACAAACACCAATACAAACACAAAGAAAAAACAAACAAAAAAGCAAACGAAAACGAAAACCTAACAACAAACCCAACCACAAACACCAATACCAACAACAACAAAAAAAACAACGAAAAAGCAAACGAAAACAAACCAAATCCAAACGCAAAACCAACCAAAAACACAAATACAAACCCAAACAAAAAAACACAAACAAAAACGAAAAAAGAAAGAACAAAAACGAACCAAATCAAAACGCAACCACTAACGCAAACCCACCTAAACACAAAGAAAACACTAACGCGAACATAAACGCCCGGGGCGGAATCACCTGTTTTAGCTTAATGAACGACTATAGTACCCCAACTTATTCATAGTCTTTTGCACTCACTTAAACGAACGCGCCTGTTTCAATTTAATGAACAATTTTAATACTCCAAGCTTATCCGTAAAATACCTACAACATTTGCACTTGATCAATACCCGCTAATTATGTAATTATTTTTTTCCCAACATCAAAACAAAGTAATAAAAAGTAAATTATTTTCCACTAATGCAATGGTTTTATAAAGGGAAGTAATTGTGTTTTCCTAATTTATTAAAGGGAAGTAAGTGCTATAGGACTAAATAAAGACATAATTAGAATTTTTGTAAAAGATGATATTTTTTTTAAAACTTGTGTTTAATGAACATGCCGACAATTATTACTATAATTTGAAAAATGAAAATTATTTCCCAACACTTTCAATAGTAATTTTTTAACTCATAAATTTAGACAAATGCGCACGATAATTGTCTAACACTTAAATCCATCCAAGACCAACGACAAACATATGCGTTACATACAGAACTGAGCTTTATATATTAGACTAGCCGTCCCGGCCAGGCCCTGCTCTGGCTTCTGTGAAAAACCTTTCCGTTAAAGACCATTACCTGTGTGTTTAGTAATCATCATAAACCCGGCATTGCCCACCCAAACCACAACCAACCAAAACAACAAAACGCAAACATAACGCTAACACAATTACAAATACAAACGAAAACAAAAACCTAGCAACAAACCCAACCACAACCACAAACACCAATACAAACACAAAGAAAAAACAAACGAAAACAAAAACCTAACAACAAACCCAACCACAAACACCAATACCAAAAAAAAAAAAAAAACGAAAAAGCAAACGAAAACAAACCAAATCCAAACGCAAAACCAACCAAAAACACAAATACAAACCCAAACAAAAAAAACACAAACAAAAACGAAAAAAGAAAGAACAAAAACGAACCAAATCAAAACGCAACCACTAACGCAAACCCACCTAAACACAAAGAAAACACTAACGCGAACATAAATGCCCGGGGCAGAATCGCCTGTTTTAGCTTAATAAACGACTATAGTACCCCAACTTATTCATAGTTTTTGCACTCACTTAAACGAACGCGCCTGTTTCAATTTAATGAACAATTATAATACTCCAAGCTTATCCGTAAAATACCTAAAACATTTGCACTTGATCAATCCCCGCTAATTATGTAATTATTTTTTTCCCAACACCAAAACAAAGTAATTAAAAAGTAAATGCTTTTCAACTAATGCAATGGTTTCATAAACGGAAGTAATTGTGTTTTGCCTAATTTATCAAAGGGAAGTAAGCGCTATTGGACTAAATAAAAACATAATTAGAATTTTTGTAAAAGATGATATTTTTTTAAAACTTGTGTTTAATGAACATGCCGACAATTATTACTATAATTTGAAAAATGAAAATGATTTCCCAACACTTTCAATAGTAATTTTTTAACTCATAAATTTAGACAAATGCGCTCGATAATTTTCTAACACTTAAATCCATCGATAACCAGCGACAAACAAACATATGCGTTACAGAATTGAGCTTTATATATTAGATTTACGAGAAAGTGAAAATTATCAACGGGAGAAAGTTGACTAATGTTTAAAAGAACAAGCGGCGTTATAAATAGATTGAGTGAAAATTTAAAAAGCACGCGCTACAGTAATGCAGCGAAACAAAGAATTAGATTTAATAATTACTGAAGATTCAAATCGTCCGTGAAGAAGTAACGGAAATTTGATGTTGACAAAAACTAATGCTCTCCTGGACGTTGGCACATGTTGTCTTTTCCACTTTAAAAAGCGCGGGAAAACAGTTTGCTTTCCTGGGCGTCCGTGCAAATAACATTAGGCTTCGATGGTGCGTGAAAGAAATCGCTCGTCAAAATGATGGTACTTGGCGTTGCTGGGAGCAATACAAGACTGTAGCACTGAGTGTGCAGTCTATTAAGTCCCAGCAGTCAAGGAGCGCATCGACCCTCAAGGTACTCGGGGTCGTAGGTGGCTTCGAGGCGATGTCACCTACACACCGATGTACAGAGGGGACATGTCTAACCCTCACTGACGGAGATCTGAGGAGCGCTGTACAACTCAGCCTGCTAAGGTCTTTGAGTAACTCGTTTATGTCGAGTATTTCATCTGTCACCCTAATCTGGATAAGCTCCCTTGCGCTGGACACTTGAGCACTAAGAGCTTCTAGAAACTTTAGGCGGTAGTTCCATGGCGTTGTTCTCCAATAGGAAGAATCTAGTCGGCTTAGCCGTCCGCTTGAGTCTTCAGTAGCCGCCGACTGATATTCAGCTTAGGGTGTTCCGGGCACCTGATGACTGGTACTGTTGCATGGATACTTGCGTCTCTAGGAACTCTATGGACCTTGAACTTCTGGGACACGCTGACCTTAGCGGAACAAGGTCGTCTTGGCTGAGATTAACCTTGAACTTCTAAGACAAGTTGGCGGCCTCAGCGGAACTAAGTCTGTCCTGGCTTAGAGATTGAAGTTTTCCGATGCGTGCCACGGTATCTTGACATCGGCAATACATTCCACCGTTTCAAAGGTTTGGTACATTGTTTGTTTATAAATATGATTCATAGACATTACTGTATATTATTTAGAAATTATTAGATATTATGTCGGCTAGTTTCTTCTTGTGGTAATTCTGAGGAAAATATCATGAGTATAAACTAGGCCATAATATATTTTTTTAACCATTCAAGAGTCTTCTCGGAGGTACGCGTTTTTTAAAAAAAAAAATAAGTTACAACTAATTTCACTGCATCCATAAATAATTTTTTAATTTTTTTTTTTTAATGTAAATATTAGTTAAAGTATCCAATAGATAATATCGTAACAAACGATATTCTTTGTAGTAATTTAAATATTATTGTATTATTATAATTTATTTTACCCTTTTTATTTCATTATTACATAAAACATTTTAATGCACTTTTTTGTTTATTTCCACCAATGATCTACGCCTTAGTCTCGTCTTGTTGCTGAAACTGTTAAGAATTCATTTGTTTTTAATTTTATTGTTAAACTACGGTCAAGGGGAAACAACAATGAAACTTACTTCATAACTCAAAAAGTTTTGTTACTTCCCTTGACAATATATTTATAATCTTTTATTCAATAAAATAACGACCATGTATATTTTATTATAGTATAGTACCAGTTTGATTTTCAATAGAAATAAGAAAAATGATAAACGGATATTCAACAATGATTTCTTTTTAAGTGTCTCATTTTCCTGTAAATATATAGGCCTACCACTGATAGTATGTATGTTACTGTAAGACCATACAAGGGAAGTAACTAAACTTTCTGTGTCGTGTAGTAAATCTCATTGTTGTTTCCCCTTGACCAGACAATAAAGATATTTTAAAAATAAAATAAAATAATTAAAATATCTAGGCCTACGGCTGTTGCCGTGCAATGTGTGGTACACAGTGACGATTCTGATGGGGGGGGGGGGGAATCCGGCTAATTAACGTGAGGACATTTACGAAGGCCCTGTAGACTGTACAATATATATATATGGACTATGGGTCTAAGACTATTGGATTATCTCAACTTTCTCAAGCAGAGATGTAACTTTTATTTTGTTGGGTTTTTTTTTTTTTTTTTTTTTGTTGTTTTTTTTTACACAACTCCGCTTTTTTCCATTATATTATCGGAAACCTGTCCGACAGAAAAATATAGCTGTGCTTTCGCCGATCGTCTTTTCCGTCTATCTTTTTTTATTAGCTTTTATTACAAGCTTTTATGATCTTGCTTCCTCTGTCTGTCTGTCGTGGTTTTGTCTGTTTTTCTGTCTTCATAGATCGAAACGGGAGAGCGAAATTTCGAGCACTTCTAAGTGACATATTCGTTTTAAACTTGACACGTAGGTCAAGACACAATGGCAAGGCAATCTGACATCATTTTTTTATGAATTAATTAAAATTTACTAAATTAAGTAAGTGGTCCTCTTACTATTTAAGTAACTGTTATACTCGCATTTTCATATTTATTGAGTGCGCAAAAGTTTTAACTCTATAGTATTTAAAAAATGTAAGTACTGAAAAAATGCATTAAACACGTTTTAGCAATAGGTATCACCCCAAAAGTGAAATTTCTTTTTTTTATAAAGTTATGGATAAGAGTAAGAAATAATAGTTTAAAATTGTTATGACTTTGAGATGACCTTGAAAATGGCAACTGTTACTATATTTTTAACCTATTTATATTCAAGTTAATGGAAAAATGTAAGAACTGAAAATTTTCAATATTTTATGATTTTTTTTTTACTTTTATAGGAGAAAAAAATAGAGGTCATCAATTTCGTCAACAGTTATTGGAATATTTAACAAAGTGGATCGATTTAAAGAATGGTACATGCTAAATATGCATATCAAATTTCAGCCACATAGCTTTGCAACTTTTTGAGGTGTCAAAATGTCGTATAACGTGGGAATATGTGTTTGGGCTGTCATATATTGTGGGAACATGTGTTTGGGCTGTCATATATTGTGGGAACATATGTTTGGGCTGTCATATATTGTGAGCTCTCGGTTTGGTTAAAACTGTACTATGTCATAGGAAGTTTATTAACACATTAAAAATAACGTGGTATTATAGTGAAAATAATATTTAATCAAAGATTAAAACCAAACTTCACTTGAATATAGTACTGAAAAATTTATTAAAATTGAATAGTTAATTTTAAAAAATAATTAATTAATTAAAGTTTAGCATTTTTAATTAGATGAAATTTCGTGTAACCATGGTTATTTAAAAAATTACGTCACTCTAAATCAACAATAAAAAAAATTGGTATAAATGATCATAATAGGTTTATTTAATTAAATAAACAAAAGCTAAAAATGTGCTTTTTTATGATACACTGGGGTGATACGTAAACTTAATAACAAGCTTTTATGTAATAATGAACAAAAAAGAGGAAAATAAACTATTTTCCTTAAAAAATATAATAATACACTACTTTTTAAATAACTATATAGAAAAGCTTGGGCCTCCTCTTTAATATTAGTAAAGGTATCCAACAGATAATAAAGTGACCACACTTTTATTTTTAGTTATTTAAATAGTAGTTCATCATACATATTTAAAGAAAATCAATTATTTTCTCCTTTTTACTGCATTATAACATTAAAGCTTGTTATTTAAACGTTTTTATGCATTTTTTATATTATAAAGCTAATTATTGTAACTGTAGCCAAATATAATGCATGCTACTGATTAATTATCATGCCGTGTAGACAGATATCATTAACGTGTTTAAATGAGCTGGAGGGAATAGCTTAGAGCACACTTCAGATATCGCCATATTGATAGATAGGTAACGAGTATCTATCAGATAACACCCGTCAGATAGCTGCATCTATTTTACGACGATGTGATGACAATTTGAACTGTACACCTGAAAATATTCGCGATGACAGTTTGAACTGTACACCTGAAGATTTTTTATCTCTTGTCAATCTGTTTTTATCTCTATGGCCCATAATTTCACCGGTTTTTATCTAAAAATTTCTGAGTTTGATAAAATCTAATATATAAAGTTCAATTCTGTATTTATGTGACCGCGGACAGCAGATTACAAAGAAAAAAAAGGGGGAAAAAAGACTTCTTCGTCATAGTGTTATACATCTAAAGTGCTTATCGTCTAAATTAATTATTTAAAAAATTAATATTGAAAGTGTTGTGAAACAATTTTCATTTTTTAAACTTAAAATAATAATTTTCGGCATGTCCATCAAACAAAATTTTAAAATTTTATCACCTTTCACAAAAGTTCTTATTGTGTCTGTAAATTATTTACATTTAGTTCTTTAGCACTCTTTGCGTCCCTTGATAAATTTGGAAAACACAATTACTTCCCTTTAAAAAAAACGAAAACTAAAAAAAAAAATTTTGATCAATAACAGTTAAGAAGCCAGCTCCTAAATGTCCTCTATGTTTACTTCTATCTTTCCGTTTGCAGATAAGCTAGGGGTATTATAATCGTTCACTAAATTGGCACCCCGGTAGGGTTCAATTTGGCGCCCTGGGTTATTCTGTGAGCGTTTGGTGCATACTTTCGTTTAAGTGAGTGCAAAAGACTATGAATAAGTTGGGGTACTATAGTCGTTTACTAAGTTGAATCAGGCGGTTACGCCGGCGCCCAAGCATGATGCGATTTTGGTGTTTCTTCCAGACTTTTTTCTCCGGGGGGCACTTGAAATTTTCGGGGGGGGGGGGGGGCGGTAGACTTTCTTCGGGGGGGGGGGGCCGAAAACACTGTTAAAAGTATATATTTTCTATATAAATTATATAAATTTCATTTCGTTCGGGGGCGAAGAAACTCTGCATGTCATAGTACTTTACAGATAGGTTTTCCCAGAGGCCAGTGCACGGCCTGGCCGGGACGGCTAGTATTCAATAAAAAATATACGCAAGTAATAGTAACCAAATGATTTAAAAGCTGTTTTCATTGTATTAAAAAAAATAATGCGTGCAATTAAAGCGAAATATTTTAATATACATATAATATTATTCGCCGCCTAGTTTTGTGATTTAAAGATGCGAATACATTCTATCAGCTGATGAATGGCAAATATCTGGAATTTAGCTCACCTTAAAAACAATGTATTGAAATACACTCGCAGATACTGTTGAAATACACTCGCAGATACTGTTGAAATCTGAAACTGATTATAAATAACGTCTTAAAACCTGAAGTACTTTTTCTATTAATGCCCTGTTTAAGTCAGCTTTTCGTAATACTTTCTCAGGATACTAAGATATCCTAATCTACTATCCGTATCTGTCTCTGTCACTGACATCCTTATCCCTGTCACTATGCACTGTCGAACTGTCAGTCAGGTTTTCCACAGATAGCCTATGAGTCTAGTCAATGTTGGAGGGAACCTAGGCCTGTCACAGTGTTACAGCTGCGAGTTGACCATACTTGATTGCAAACCAAGATAACAATTGGTGTCAGCATCAAACACGAGCTGTCTAGCCATTTGTTTATGATCGATTCAATAATTGTAAACAAAAATTATTAATAATGTATTTTTTGTTCAATCTGTTAGTTGACACAGTTCTAAAGATGATCCTCGTCATCATTGGTCCTACTGGCCTTGATGGCCGGCTTGTCCTTGAACCTGTTGAACATCTTGAGGATCAAGTCCCCGATCAGGATGTCACTCGTGTTCCTGGCAATCAGACGCAGGATAAAGACGCCGTCGTCACGCAGATATTCTTCAGCAAATCTGCGGGCCAACTTCTTGTCTTCTGTGGTCCTGACTTGGTCAAGGATGGACAGATACTTCTTGATGTAGGCGGCCTGGCTGTTCTTGACCAGGGCCCGCCAGATCCAGAACAGGAAGTTGCCAGATGTGCAGACGGCCACAAAGACAAACCAGAACCAGAGGAAGATGAAGATTTTCTCGTTGAAGAGGTTGATGGGTAGGACACACTGCACCGTGTACGTCTGGATGTTGGCCAGCTGGCGGATCTCAAAGTCGCACATCGTCACCTTGGGGAACCTCGCTGAGTCGGTCCAGTTTTCATCCGAGCTGAGACCTTCAAGAACCTCGAACCCGTAGACGTGGTACCAGTCGCCCATGAACGCGTTGAGCAGGAAGAACTGGATGATGACGTTGAGTAGGAAGAGGAACTTGACGAGCAGGTAGATGGTGGTCAGGATCTTACCTCCCCTGTCGGCGCAGCAAGCACACAGACGACTGATGAGGTTCCTCCTAAGGCATCGCTTGACCCGAGTGTCCAGCCAGCGGTCCAGGAATGTCGAGATGTGCTCTAACGTCTCCTCACGCTTGGCCTCGTCCCCGTATTGTGTACTGGTTGTCATGGTGACGATCTTGTCAATGCTGAGACCTGACAAGCCGTTTAACCCCCTCCAGACCAAGGCGGGGAACTTAAACAAGAGCGCCATGAAGAGAAGGATGACCGGCACCCACTGGTAGTAGGTCAGCTCCTCCTGGCTCCTCTCACCTTTGACCGACGGGATGGGCGTGTCCATGGGGACATGGTAGGTGTTCTTGACCCAGCAGTAGGACTTGGCGTAGGACCTGTATGAGCCGGTGAAGTGTGCCGGCACCCAGCACTCGATGGGGTTGCCGGCATACTGACCACCGGTGACAAAGACAGCGAAGATGGCCAGCAGGATGACCGTGTAGAGATGGTTCAGTCTGTCCACCCAGTCGTCATCATTGCTGGACACCAACTTGTTGTAGGATGCCCAGCTGCCTAAAATTGTCGCCGCGTAACTACAAGAGAAAAAAGAACAATTTAATTGTATAGATCAACAAAATAAAGTACCACCCCCCACACCCCACATCCCCACATACACACATATGTATACACATATATACATAGTCACTCAGCCGACTAAACAAAGACATAAACCTAGACATGCTTAATTACATTACATGATTACATTACATAATTACAACTAATAAGATGAGGCAACTACCTCCCCTTCACTTTGTTGTAAAACTTAAATTTTGTTTCCCATTAGTTTGTTTCCCATCAATTTGTTTCCCATCAATTTGTTTCCCATCAATTTGTTTCCCATCAGTTTGTTTCCCATCAATTTGTTTCCTATCAGTTTGTTTTCGCCGGTGTACACAAATACCAAACTGACTTTATCTCTACGATAGAAAGGCTTTGTGCCGTGCTAACACATCTATAAATAGCATGTGTCTTTGTCTACCCGATGTGTTAAAATGATAATTGATTGTGTACTTCAGCTGGCTAATATCATGTCTACATCTCGTCCACAATCATGAACACGTGATATAACAGATAGCTTGTCAATCAAGCGTGGGTCGAATTGGGGCGTGGCAGTTTATGCTAATTACTAAAAAACGATATCGGTTATCGTAATCGATTACTTGAAGTGGTAAATTTTCCACAGTAGTGTTATCATTGGAATATTTGACTTGAATTATCATTGACATATTTGACTTGAATTATCATGGGAATATTTTACTTGAATTATCATGGGAAAATTTGACTTGAATTATCATGGGAATATTTGACTTGAATTAGCATGGGAATATTTGACTTGAATTAGCATGGGAATATTTGACTTGAATTAGCATGGGAATATTTGACTTGATTAGCATGGGAATATTTGAATTGAATTATCATGGGAATATTTGACTTGAATTATCATGGGAATATTTGACTTGAATTAGCATGGGAATATTTGACTTGAATTAGCATGGGAATATTTGACTTGAATTAGCATGGGAATATTTGACTTGAAGTGGTTCTCAAGCTGTAGATGGGGTTAATGGTAGCTACTGGGGTCAAGGGTAGCTACTGGGGTCAAGGGTAGCTACTGGGGTCAAGGGCAGCTACTGGGGGTCAAGGTAGCTACTAGGGTCAAGGGTAGCTACTGGGGTCAAGGGCAGCTACTGGGGGTCAAGGTAGCTACTAGGGTCAAGGGTAGCTACTGGGGTCAAGGGTAGCTACTGGGGTCAAGGGTAGCTACTGGGGTCAAGGGTAGCTATTGGGGTCAAGGGTAGCTACTGGGGTCAAGGGTAGCTACTGGGGTCAAGGGTAGCTACTGGGGTCAAGGGTAGCTACTGGGGTCAAGGGTAGCTACTGGGGGTCAAGGGTAGCTAATGGTGTCAAGGGTAGCTACTGGAGACAAAGTTATCATTCGAGTTCAGATCCCGGGCACCAGTCGGTACAACATTCCTGAGTCCACCTAACTTTAATGGGCACCGACCATAACATCCTTTCATATGCCGAAGTTGCAGAAACAGGTGAACTACTTCATTTGCACTATTGACCTTTTAGTTCGAAACAGGTTCAACACTGAATCAAATATTCCTGCCACACTGACATTGTTAGAGAGGACAGCAGAAAGTGATAAAAAAAATAGAAAAAAAAATTCGTCTCTATATTTGAAATCACGCTGATACAGCCGCTGAATTTGAAAAATTAGGCCTGGAAGTACCATTAAATTTGGGGTTAAAAGAAACGAGGCTTGTTTGTGTTTGGAAAATAAAATACTAAAGTTACAATTGAATAAAGTAGGACATCAGACTACCTACTTTGTCAACCAAACGTGTAAAGTAGGCGAATAGAACAAGTCAAGTCTCGATGTTGAATAAAATTGTATTTTAGGAAATACAACAAAAAGTTAAAGGAATACATCAAGTACTATAGTCTCTACTTTTTGTAAAGTCTTTAAAAATTTAGAGGTTTCTCTGGAAGCTAAAATACACAAAGTACATTAATATCGTAAATTTGGTAATGACTATTTATTTGATTCATAAATTATAACATAGTTTATAGTTTAATATAAAAATCCTCTATAAAAATAAGCTTTTAAGTTCATTAAAAATAAGAAAATAAAACAAATTTATTTGCTTTCTTTAATAAAAGCATTGATCGCCGAAACATTTAGGAGAACTTATGGGCGATTTCAAATTTAATGACTAGCTTAATGTCTTATTAGATTGAAAAGTATTGATTCTTGCATTGTCATCGGAGATGAATGTGCGTTAGAAGTGGATTAAAAATGAGTTAAAAGATTTGGCGAGAACCTATCTGCACCACGGACTGTCAAGTTTTGAAAGAGAAACTTTACCCTTTTAAACTAGAAATAAACTAATAGCAAAATAAATATGAAACTAAAATAAAAAAATATGAAACTAAATATAAAACTAATAAAATACTTAAAAAAAACTTTTTAAAAAACCACGTTTTTCTTGTGGACTAAAAAGTAGAAAATAACTATTTACATACATTTGATGAAAAAAAACGTGGGTACGTTCACCATCAAATTTCCCGACCCATCTGCCCGACCCACGTTTTTTTTCATCAAATGTATGTAAATAGTTATTTTCTACTTTTTAGTCCACAAGAAAAACGTGGTTTTTTAAAAAGTTTTTTTTAAGTATTTTATTTTCTCCTTTTTAGTCCGTTGCTACACATGAAAAACGTGGTTTTTAAAAAAGTTTTTTATATAGTTTATTTTCTACTTTATCTAATGACTTGATTAAGTATGAATTGACTAAGTGTTTATAAATACACGGACTAAAAAAATCTTGAGCGACCAGGATTCGAACCTGGGTTGTCGCGGCCACAACGCGAAGTACTAACCACTATACGATCACGGCCAGCGCGCTCACATCGATTGGGGCCGAAGTAACTGTGTCTATAAGCCTCCAGTCTTGTCGGTATCTTTAGAAATCATGTCCTCAATTTTATGGTCCTTTGGGCGTAATTAAATTAAGCTAATTACGGTCTCTAATTGCTAGTTTTTATGATTGCATCTGAAATTGTTAGGCGAAAGTAGCCTGCATGCCAAATTTCAGAACTATAGAACAATCAGAAGTGGGCTAATTTTCGATGTCAATTTTAACAACAAACAAATCCACACATCCACAAACGCGAAGCTGAGTTAAGAAAAACGTGTTAAAAATAGTCTATAATAAACTAAAAATAAACTCAATATAAAACTAAAAGTAAACTTAAATAAACTAATAATAAACTAAATAAAACTAAAAAATAAACATTCTACAACAAAAGAAACCAACACTGGAGCTGTTTTGTCCTCGCCAACCATCCTTATCCTGAGATACCAACTTGGTCAGACACAATGGTGTTAGTATGAGATCTGTAATCCCTAGGTTAAAATACCAGCTTGGTCAGACACAATGGTGTAAGTGTCACTATTCCCTAACAAGAAATACTGAAATAGTCATGTGTTTCACTCAATCAACTTGCGATGAAAAAAGTTGTATTGCTGTATCTGTTACAGGGGCGGGGACACGGTGGGTGAGAACGAATCTACACCGTGGTTTACGATTCCTTGTGTCACAATGGACATCACAAGTAGACGAAAATCTCCCATCATTATTGTTGACGTGGATCACACTAGTGTTAGTATATATATTTAAAATAGGTAGCTTGAAAATAATTCAAAAGTTCAATATTTCAAGGATACTTTTCTATTTATTTTCATCAAGCCTTAGTTTAACCCGAAGTTTCACTTTCTTAAGACAAGTATTGAATGCTGTACAGAAACTCCGTGATCGATCTTTTGTAAACCCCATTTTGTGGCAATTGGTATTCAAAACTTTGCCGATATATTTTTGTAATAAAATTATTATAAACCATATGGCCTAGCTATGCCATGTTTATTTACATTTTCAACGACAAGTTGAAAACCAATTTGATTTTGGCTTTTTATTTAGTTATCGAAAATACTAAAAACATTTCATTCATCCGATTTTTAGTGAATTCCATCAATAAACTAAGTCAGATTTTTTAATAATCATATTAATTTAATTACATCGTACATGATTTTTTTTTAAATATTTAATTGGGATTTCCGAGACTATTATCGTTGGTGTCAATTTACACAAAAGATTTGTGACTTATGTGACTTATGTGACTTATGTGACTTATGTGACTTATGTGACTTATGTGACTTATGTGACTTATGTGACGTATGTGACTTATGTGACAAGTTGTCACATTCAACACTACAAGTCTTCAAACAACATCAACACAACTTCGCGACAGCTACAGTACAGAATATAGAAAAAAAACTTCATTGATACTTTAATCACCCCCCCCCCCTTTGACCGTGGCGCAAGGAACAAAACACACCCCTGCACCCCTATATAGACACGCCTTTGAAAACTACCTTCATTTTTCGAGGAAACTGATTTCTTTTTAGGAAAATCGACAATCTTTCAAGCTGTTTTATCACAGGTTCGAACATTAAAAGATAAAAAATCTGATAAAATGTGACAAAACTCAACAAAATCTTGACAAAATCACAGAGTTTTGTTTTACTTTCAGATAGGTGAGGTCAAGTAAGAAATGGATGTTTATATTCAAAACCCTAAAACTGGTAAGTTTTTAGTTTTTCCTGGAGTTTATTCCTAGATCCTTAAACCGTTAAGTTTTTAGTTTGGTAGTAATTCGGAGATCCTAAAATGGTTTAGTTTTTTAAAAACCGTTAAGTTTTTAGTTTGGTATTAATTCGGAGATCCTAAAATGGTTTAGTTTTTTAAAAACCGTTCAGTTTTTATCTGTTCATTGAAAAGAACTAAAAAAAAAACTTGAGGGTCACGTGGCACATATTGGGTCAGACTTGAGGTTTGTCTATGACGTGTTGCTGGCCAGTTGTGGAACTTTCGAGAAAGTTCCATTCTACAGAACCCTTGGAGGGTTAGCCGAGAGGTTCCATATTGCTGACTCTCTATGTCAAATATTCAGACACTCTGACAACATAACAGTGTCTGTCTGTCGTGTGGGTATGATGTGGCCATCGTGTGGCCAAATTGTGTAGGTAATGTGGCCAGGTTGTGTAGATAAAATTGGCCATATTGTGTAAATCATATGGCAGCTTGTGTAGGTAAGTAGCCAGGCGTTTTAAAGTGGTATGGCCAGATTATGTATCGTAGCGAGGGGGGGGGGGGGCGGGGGGGGGGGACATATGTCCCCGGGCGCCGACCTTAGGGGGCGCCAAAATGGGTTGGAAAAATAAATTGAAAGCTTGAGGGGGGTGCAAATTTAAATTTTGAGGGGGGGTGCAAATCAAAATCTTGAGGGGGGGTGCAAATCGAAATCTTGAGGGGGGGGGGGGTGCAAATCAATCGACAGTTTGAGGGGGGGTGCAAATCGAAAAGTTTGTCCCCGGGCGCCGGGAAGGGTCGCTACTCCTCTGGCCAGATTATGTATCTATGTATCCATGTAGGTTGTGGTCAAATTCCTTAGTTTCTATACTGATTTTCACAGGTCAAATCTACATACCGAGACACGAATTACATCATCCCCATGTCTGAAAGTGTAGTGTTTCGATCAAATCTTCCACAGACCTACGTCATACACAGAAAGACTACGTCAGTCCACTTATGTGATTAGGTTGACGTCAGGAATTAAATAGGAAAATCTTAGAGAAACAGGCAGCACTCGAGCTGATGATAAGTACCAAAAAATAGGGCAGCGAATAGATTAAGGATTAGTACAAAAGCAACCCGTGCAGCTAAGCACCAAGACTTTCAGACTAAAGTTAGCACCCAGAAACCGTCTATAGTTGACCAGCTGACCATTATATCTTGTGTTCAGCATTTCGTTAAGTCTGCGCACACAGAAGATAGAACAACACTGTCGACATGACTAACGAGGTCAAAGCTTCCAGATTTATGATGTGAAAATTAGAAACTTTGTTGGATGGGTGCGGACGTTAACTTATGGTGCAGACTTGTCAACAATCATGCTTGTTGTTTTTGTCAACAATCCATAAATCAAATCATATTCTAGAAAGTTCTATTTTTCTTTTATTTAATGTTTTTGTTTAATTTAATTTATTAGTTTGTACATTGTAAATTTTAGTCAGCCTATCTGAATTGACGGTTGAGTTTTTTAGTCGCACGAGGAACAGAAATATTTATTTTAAATGTCCATCATTCAAACAGGACAATGCCATCAAACTGCTATACTCACGACATTTTATTGGTGTCCTCTTGTCCTTCTGAAGTCCTCTAGTCCTGTCAATGCCCGTGTATCACAGCAGCTCTACATTGAACTAATTAAATCTAATTGAGATGATAACCTACAAAATCACGTGACCCTATTATCACATACAAATTCCAAAAGAGAAATCAAAACACTTTCTACTCTGTGTTTTACAAGGCCAATACTTAAAGAAATGCATACAAGTTTATTTTAAAGAAAGTGTTAAAATACAGTAAGCGAGATGTGTAGATATGGAAATCTTAAGACGTCTGCTGGGGGTGGGTCAGGCAAAATTAATGATGTCACAAGACTTAATCGTCTGCTATCGCTAGCTACGTCACACAGATCACGGCGATGGCGGCCAAATTTAGCCAGGCATGTCGTGGTGGCAGACGTTCGCAGTTTTTTACCGCCCTTTTTGGTGCAACTTCAGGGCGCCAGTTGGACCCCCCCCCCACCCATTCACACTCCTCTCCACTTCCAGACTTCCAGCAATAAATAATCTGGCCAGCAGATTTATTGGCGCCTGGTGTAGATATGTATGTATGGGATGTGTAGGGGAAATGTGTCTGTTACATCCGACCCGTTTACTGTCAGTGTTTCTTTCAGGCATCTCTCTGGTTGGGGGGGGGGGGGGCAGTCGGTCTACAGGCCCCTACCCCTTTACTACGGAAGAAAAGTTTATGATTATTTGTTTGTTTATGTTTATATTTAGGCCTATATACGGCCCTAATTGTTTAGATAATATTTTTTTGGTAACCTTCGGTTACAATTATATAAAGCTTAATGATCGGCAAATCAATGAAATCATAGTAATTAGTATTTAGCACAGTTCATGTCCTAACAGCATTTTTATTGTTCTCTGATGTAAACATTTGACCGTGTGTTTGGCCAGATCGCCTTATGTTGGGAGGTATGTAATGTGTTATCGCTCTTACTTTAATGTGGGAAAAGGCTGTTTCATTTTACATTAGTTCTGCCCGATTTTAGGGTCATCTCCCTTACATTAGTTCTGCCCGATTTTAGGGTCATCTCCCTTACATTAGTTCTGCCCGATTTTAGGGTCATCTCCCTTACATTAGTTCTGCCCGATTTTAGGGTCATCTCCCTTACATTAGTTTTGTCCTATTTTAGGGTCATCTCCCTTACATTAATTCTGCCATATTTTAGGGTCATCTCCCATAGTTCTGCCATACTTTAGGGTCATTTCCCTTGGTTCTTACATATTTTAGAGTCATCTCCCTTACAGTAGCTTTGACATATTTTAGGGGGGTGTAGGACAAAAGGCCGACATCCAAAAGGCCGACACGGACAAAAGGCCGACATGGACAAAAGGCCGACAGGACATAAGGCCGACAGCCATAAGGCAGACAGCCAAAAGGCCGATAGTACATAAGGCCGACAGGACACAAGGCCGACAGCCATAAGGAAGACATCCAAAAGGCTGACTGACCATAAGGCCGGCAGACCAGAAGGCCGACAAGCATAAAAAATAATGTGTTACTGCATAGCTGGATAAACAGATAGGTAGTGTTGGTTACCACCATATTTCGCCAAGAAATCAAAGAAACCGAATGAAGTAGAACGATCACGTGCCTTGACTGGACTACATGTTAAATACCGACAAACTTTGAATTTTAGTTTCGTCCATTGCGAATTGCATTTGATTCCAAGGACCCAAAACACAGTTGAGGGGTGGCACAGGAGGTGGGAGGTAAAAGATCACCCTGGAGTCTATTGTTTGCTAAAAAAAAAACTAAAACAAGAAAAAGGAAGAGTTGAAGTAGACATGAAGGCAATATTGCTTGGTTAGCGAAAAAAAAAACACTAAAAAAAACAATATTTACAGAAAGAGGACATGATAACAATTAGAAAATACAACACTTGAATTTTTACGTGGCATGGCATATAATTTATCATACTAGGCCCTATTTTTTTTCTAGATTGTAATATACCTTTATTATGTAACTGGTTTTCAATAAAAATTAAACATGTCTGTAATTGTAGTTTGTTGTTTTATAAAACTTGTCGGCCTTTTGTCCGTGTCGGCCTTTTGTCCGGATCCCATTTTAGGATCACTTCCTCCCTTACATAACTTTGGGATTGTCACCTTACAAAGGCTCTATGATTTACAAAACAACTGACTGATAACTCTTTGGCATATATTCAATAGTGCAACATATGCTTAACATTTTCTCAGAGAGACAAAAAACAAAATGAATACAGCTTTGATAAACAAAACATATTTAATTTACCTCAAAAGAGAGAATTTTTTACAACAAAATCAAATTTTTAAAAATTTCAATAGAACATTATAATAAAATGCAACAAAACATAATTTTTTATTTATAAATAAAATAACAAATAAATTTGAAATAAAAATTCATGTCCTTGTGATTTAAAATATTTTTCTTTTAAAACTAAAATATTTAAGTTTACAATGAACATACGAAGAAACTTCAATATTTTCTTTAAAAAATATCACTACATGTTTACAATCTACTTACTAAAGCAATTTAATGGTTGTCTTTAAAAAAAAATATACAAATTTACAATCCAGTAACTAAAGCACTTTATTTCTTATGAAAAAAATATTTTCAAGTTAACAATCAACTTACTAAAGCAGTTTCATAATTCTCTTGACATTTACCACACACAAAAATTTGTAGCTGACATTTGAATGACATCTAATAATCTAAAATGACATCTATATGAGCTAAACAAAAGCTTGACATTAATTTCATCCACATTAGCTAAATATTCCAAAATAAGGAATGTTTAGTACTCAACTACTTAATAGAAAAAAACTGAATGTGTGAGTTAACTGCAACACATCAAATGCTGACATTTAAATGTACATTTTACCCTTATGCACATGAACCCTAAATGTACACAACATCTGCATTTTGCTTCATCTTAAACTTCCATGACATCTCCATGACAATGTCCTCATCCTAAATGTACATGACATTTGCTTGCTCCCCCCTTCTCCATACAACTGCCGTCTAAATGTCACATCTTCTAGGTCCCCCATCCTAATTTTACATGACATCTGCATGTAATGTGCCTCCCTCCTAAATGTACATGACATCTGCTTGTTCCCCCCTTTTCCATACAATTGTCATCTACATGACATGCTCCCCCATCCAAATTCTACATGACATCTGCATGCAATGTGCCTCCCTCCTAAATGTACATGACGTCTCCCTGACATCTGTCCCTCTTACTCATGGGCTTACTCCTGTAGATCTTCCAGAGTTCACTGACCAGGTCCCCCATCACCACCTCGTTGGAGTTGTTCAAAATGACGGCCAGGACAAAGGCGCCGTCACGTCGCAGGTACTGACGACCAAACTGACCGGCCTGCAGGCGGTCGTACTCTGTCACCAGGAGACCTTTGGCCTTGAGAAACTTTTTCACATTGTAGATGTACTTGAGGCCCTAATGGACAGTTGAGGCATTAGTGGTTAGAGGAATTGATGTAAGCTATAGGGTTAGATGTACTTGAGGCTTTAATGGACAGAGGAATTGATGTCAGATTTAGGGTTAGATCTACTTGAGAAGATAACTGTTTGGGTTAGCATCAGTCAAGTGCCTGACACTTTGTTTCTGATATCTGATTAATAATATCATTGCCTTTCTTTATTGATAAAAGTTTTCCCAGGATGAAACATTTAATTTTTAAAATCTTTAGCAAGGAAGTTTAGTTACTTGTGTGTGCCCGATATTGTAATAAAACAAGACACAATGATCAAAACAAATATAAAAAGCCTTTAGAGCAACAAGCTTTTAAATGCACTGAAAATTCTGTATTTGAGAAGAATTCTGAGCATGATATAAGAGGTCAGTGTTCAGCTTACAACAAATTTTAAGGCCAAATGATGAAATAAGGGACCAACGACTTACCCCAAACACCCACTTGTAGACCCAGTAGAGAAAATTGATGACCGTCACCACGGAAACCATGAACATCCAGAACCAGAGGAAGGCAAAGATTTTCTCATTGAACATGTTGATGGGGAGGGCACATTGGACTGTGAACCTGGGGGTGGGGAAAGATTCTCCAGAATAATGGTGTATTGCATTGTCTAGGGAGGGGGAGGGGGGGGGATGTCAAGTACAGAGACATCTTGGTTAAAAGAGATTCTTTCTAGAAAAATTTTTATCATCCTTCAGTCTGGCATCCAAACATCAATAAATGACAGCTATGTACATCAACCCAACCAACAATTTTACCATATTGTCCTATAGTGTCTGGATTTTTTTGTCTTACTGTACTACAGAGACCTCTACATAACAAAGCACATAACTTAGTGAAAATATCACTATCTAGTTATCAAGTATAAATCCTTGTCTAACTTACCTAATTGAGAAGTGGTGAAGATATAAAAATCTAGTTATCTCATATAATTTCTTGTGTAACTTACGCTTGTTTGTTTGTCTGTTGAGCAATATCAGTATCACAAAATGTGACTTTAGGAAAGTAAGGTGACTCGTTCCATAAGTCATCTCTAGTGGTATCAAACACACCAGCCAACAGGTTAAAGCCATACAGGCTGTACCTGCAAGTACAGCAAGCTAGATGACAGGCTAGATGACAGGACAGATGACAGGCTAGATGACAGGCTAGATGACAGGACAGATGACAGGCTAGATGACAGGCTAGATGACAGGCTAGATGACAGGACAGATGACCTGCTAGATGACAGGCTAGATGACAGGCTAGATGACAGGACAGATGACCTGCTAGATGACAGGCTAGATGACAGGCTAGATGACAGGACAGATGACCTGCTAGATGACAGGCTAGATGACAGGCTAGATGACAGGACAGATGACATGCTAGATGACAGCTAAATGACAGGTTAGATGACAGGCTAGATGACAGGACAGATGACAGGCTAGATGACAGGCTAGATGACAGGCTAGATGACCTGCTAGATGACAGGCTAGATGACAGGCTAGATGACAGGACAGATGACAGGCTAGATGACAGGCTAGATGACAGGACAGATGACCTGCTAGATGACAGGCTAGATGACCTGCTAGATGACAGGCTAGATGACAGGCTAGATGACAGGCTAGATGACAGGACAGATGACAGGCTAGGTGACAAGACAGATGACAGGCTAGATGACAGGCTAGATGACAGGACAGATGACAGGCTAGATGACAGGCTAGATGACAGGCTAGATGACAGGCTAGATGACAGGCTAGATGACAGGCTAGATGACAGGCTAGATGACAGGCTAGATGACAGGCTAGATGACAGGCTAGATGACAGGCTAGATAACA